GGTGAAGGGAGAGGTCATGGTGAAGAATTTGTATTATCCTCTCCCAACCAAAGCCATCTCTCATTCCAGACATCAGAGCCCAAGAAGGCTGAGAACCAGACCCAAGGTCTCCTCTAGGAATCAGGATCAACTAAATTATAATTAGGTCACGATCAAGATAAAGATCTATACTTTATTAACTTACCCATCTGTTTTTTGTTTTATTTTCCATCTATCTGTTTTGCTGGCTCTTAATTTCTGGTTGGGTTATTTTCTGAGTTTCTTAGTTCCCTCTGATAAATCCCAACCCAATGCCGCTGAGTTAAAGGAAAAGATTTTTGTCCATAGTTGGGCCCAGGAATCCCAGCTAGAGAGCCTGTTCATCTGGTGGAGATTGGCGGCTACCCAGAGCCGTGTGGAATGAGCAGGTGGATTCTGTGGATTCCTTCAGTCTCATATAGTCCCACTTCCACTAAAAAAATACTTGCTCAGCATCCAGCATGTTCCTGGGCTCTTTGTGGGCATCAGGCTACAATGATCCTTCTTTCCAGGGATCAAGTTAGGTATGAGGGATGGCCCAGTCTAAAGGTTATTGAGAGGGAGTTGGCACTATGGCCCATGGCCAAAGCCAACATGTCCTGCGTACCCTTTATTCCAAATAGGAGCCAGATACTTTCCTTCCAAGGTTTGCTAAAGAGGGCAGAACTGGCCCTCTGTCCCTTAGCCACACATCACCTTGCCCATTTACTGCTCCTAGGGGGAGAGGAGTTCTCTGATTTTATTAAGGATTTTGTATTATGGTGGAAGACGATACTCCCCACTAAAAAAAATTTTTTTTCTTTATTGATTTTTAGAGAGAGAGGAAGGGAGAAGGAGAGAGAGTTAGAAACATCAATGAGAGGGAACATTGATTGGCTGCCTCCTGCAGGACCCTCACTGGGGATTGGTCCCACAGCCTGGGCATGTGCCCTGACAGGGAATCGAACCCTCAACCTCTTGGTGCATGGGTCGATGCTCAGCCAGTGAGCCATGCTGGCTAGGCCAATCCTTACCACTTTAATCGGGAGTCTCTCATGGAGATTGATGGGTGACTACAAGTAAGGATGCTGGGATGCTGTTTCCCAGTGAAGTCTACTTGGCAGTGAACTTGCTGATGTCCCCCTGTGCCTATCTGAATAGGGGAGAAGAGAGGTGGAGCAGCTGGCCAGGATGCATGCGTTTCTCTGGGTCAAGTGGACCCTGCAGTAGTTAGCCAGGCTTTCTGGGATCCCACCAAGCAGTCTGACTGCTGAGCAAGAGGGTCTCCCCAATGGCAGGAGCCTAGGTGGTGAGGCAAGGAAGGAGAGCTCAAGTCTAGGCTGAATGTCCCCTGTCAGAGAACTGTGCAGTGGAGAAGCCTCCAAGAAACTTACTTATGTGCCCGATGAGAACCCACATTTGGACACTTGTCACTCTGCATTGGCTAGGGAAGCAGAGTTGACCAAGAGGGATGGGGCTATTACTGAGGGCTGTTTCCATTCCCTCCTCTCAATTTCAGTAAGGGGGAGGGTACTGGGGCATGTCTCCCAACCAGGCCATGCCCCCCACCTCACACACCTGTTATCTAAGCAGGCAGGGACCTGGCTCAAGTCAACCGTTGGATGAGTAAGGGAGAAGATAAAATTATATTTAAATTGAGTTTGAGAATAAAGCTTTCAAGGATGGAGGTTTAACAACAGAAAGTGACCCACAAGTAATGCAATCTGCTCAAGATGTCATTAAGGGATGGAAAAGGGAGATTCAACACAGCAGGGCTGAAGGCTGAGATGAGGGGAAAAAGTTTCATTACTATGCTCCATTGAGTTGAGTCGCCTCAGCATACTAGTTTCACGAGTAAGTAGAGTAATTGAAGCATGTCTTGCATAGGTAAGCAGCAGTAGGGTTCTGAGAGGGCCCGGGCATGTGGGTGTGTGCATCCCAGGTTGGCTGTTGGAGAGGGCTTTCCAAAGAAGGGGCTTTCCAGGCAGAGGTGACAGCATAGTCTGGAGCAGCAAGCTGAAGGCAGGAAGGACAGACATGCAGGCCAGGAAGCCCATGTCCTTGGGCCCTGTGAACTCAGGAGTGGGGGCTCTGGGGAGTTGTTTCAAATCTGGGAGCAACACAGTGGGGTTTGCACAGTAGAACCATCTGGTTACCAGATTGTGACAGTGCTATGGACTTGACCTTCAGGCACACTTCTTACCCATTCATCCAACCCCATGACCCCGAACTCCTCTATGAAAGCCAGTTTCTCTGTGATTCCAAAATCCTGGGTCATCACTCTTTTATTGAACCCTTCCCAGTCCTCTTTGATGAGACTCTGAAATATTGCCACCCTCCCCATAAATCATCTTCTCGCGCTCCTTCTTCAACAGACTCTTCCCAGCCTAAGTAGATTCTTTGCCTTCTCTGGGCCAGCACATGTTTTCTCAGGATATGCATATACTAAAATATCTTCCTTTTATCTTATCTGGTCTTCGCCCCATGGGGCAACCCGCAGGCTACTATTTATTCTTTCACACATTAATTTAAGCTGCTTTAATTGCCGCTTTGATATGTTTTATATAATATAATTAATGTTTTAATTCTGTGTACTTGCTTCCCGAGGCAGTTTTGTGAAGGGCCCAATTTTGAAATCAAGCAAATAAAGAATAAGTAATGGCTGAAGTGATCACAGTGACGCCCCTCGCTCCCACCCCAAAGGAATGAAGACTGTGCTTGGTTTTTTTTGAAGTGGCTTAAAAAGGGAAGATAATTTTAATGTTCTCTTCATCCTGGGCCAGTTTGGGTGGCTTTCATGAAGCCCCCTGGATGCTGATTTCAAGTGTTCTGCACTGTTGGTATCTGACCAGCAGCTTGAGGTCTGAGTTACAACTACCAGCTCTCTGCAGCTCCTGTCCACTTCCTTCCTGATGGAGGCTGTGATTAGAATGAGAAGTTACTGAGCCCACTCACTCACTCATTCATTCAGTCACTGTAGATTGGTATTTTATTATGTGCCCAGGGATAGATTCAGTCCCGTCCTCAAGGAGCTCACAATCACATATGGCCAGGCAGAGGGAGTTATAGCCCAGCATGCTAATGCTGTGGGAACACGAGGGAGGGGGGAAGGTGGGGCAGAGTATCTACCTGTGTCTCAGGGAGTTAAGAGGAGACTTAAGAGGAGGTAAATTTAAACTGGTTACAGAAAAGAGAAGAAAACAGCAAGACACAGTAAGAAAAACTAAGGAAAAAATACTGTGTGTTTGGAAAATTGGGAGGTGAGCACAGCTGAAGCCAACATCATGGGAGGACATGGCAGGGAGTGAGTGGGGAGAGAGGTTGGGGCTGAGTGGAGAAGGTCTCGCTCTGCAAGGAGAAGGAGTTTAGACTACCCCGAGGGTATAGGGGAGCCCAAAGAGGTTTTTAGGCAGTGGAGTGTCCTGATCAGATTAGACCTGGGATTTATAAAGGGTTTACAGTATGAGAGAGAGAGAGAGAGAGAGAAAGAGAGAGAGAGAGAGAGAGAGAGAGAGAGAGAGAGAGACTGTTAGAGTTGCCTGGCACATCATAGTAGGGGCTCAACAATATTTATTGAATGAGTGAGGCTGTTGGGACAGCCCAGGTGAAAGATGATGAGTCTCTGAATTAGGGTAGTGGCAGAGGTGATGGAAAAGAAGGGGTGGATTCCAGAGGTAGAATCCACAGGACCCTTTGCATCCGAAGCCAGGAGCATGGGGTTAGCAGCCCCCTCCTCTCCCATCCTCCCAGCTCTGCACACCTTGGCCTTTCATCCTGGCCCAGAAATTCAGAGCTTGGAGGGTCATCTCCCTAACCACTGTCTAGTTCAAGTTCTTCAGGTTTCATTCAGAAAAAATTGTGCTCAAGGGAACTCCACACATCAGAGGCAGAGCTAGACCAGAACCCAGGTGTTTGCTACATGCTGCAGAGCAGACAGTGTTAACACTGGTTTAAGAAAGGCTCGGAGGGCTCTGGCCGCTTTGGCTCGGAGGGACCTGGCCACTTGGGCTCAGCCGTTAGAGCGCAGTCCTGTGGACCAAAGAGTTCTATTCTGATCAAGGGCACGTACCTCTAGGGTTCCGTCCTTGGCCCCGTTAGGGTCGTACGGGAGCAGCCGATCGATGTCTCTCTCTCACATCAATGTTTATGTCTCTCCCACCCCCATTCTATCTGAAAATTAAGAAAAAATGTCCTTGGGTGAGAATTAAAAAAAAAAAAAAAAAGGCTCAGAGGGCCAGAACTGGGAAAATGTAGGTAGAAGGGCGTGTGTGTTTCTAAGATTCTCAAGGGGTCCTGCGATCCCACCAAAGGCTAAGAGCTTAGAGACAGATGGAAACTGGGGTGGAATAGAAACTAGTGGAGTGGGGGTAGGGCGGATGGATGGATGGATGGATGGATGGATGGATGGATGGATGGACGGACAGGGAGGCAGGGACGCTGGTCCCACACGAGGGAATTTCCTTTGAAGGAGAGCGAAACTCTAAGTGGGGAACTATTTTTCCTTGAAATGCCTCCGCGCCCCAGCTGTGGCCTTCCCGTTTCTTTTGGGATGAGCGGGGACTTCCTCAGGCTTCTCCAACCGCTTTCGGTTCTGCTGGGGTTCCCAGAGGTGGCGGGGGGAGAACCGTGGGGGTCCCTGTGGTGTCTTCCCAGCACCCGGGGGGATCTCTCTTCCCTTCCTTCGTCTCCTGGGAAGCCTGCTGGCTCCTTCCTCTCTTCAGCTTGGCCTTTCTAGTCCCAGAGGCTAAGAAGGAAGAGCCTCCCTGGGACCCCCCATTCCCCCTTTCCCAGCGCGTCCCTAAACTCCCTGGGGAATCAGACTCTTGGGAATGTCCTGGGGAAATCCCAGAGTAGCTAGTAGCCCAAACTCCGCCCTCCCCAGCGGAGCTGGCCGCGATTGGCCCTAGAAGACCACGCCCCTTTGGTGGGCGAGGCCACAGCTGGGGCGGGGAGTTACTAGAAACCAAGTCCCAGGCCCTCCCCCCGGCCGCCTGTTTCTGACCTCGCCATGGTTCGTCTGCCTCTGCAGTGGCTCCTCCTGGGCTGCATGTGGACCGCGGTGAGTCGACTGCTCCGACCCTACGGGGGAGTTTGGGATTTGAGAGGGGAATGGGAGGAGAAGCAATACTTTCGGGAAGGGACCTTCCTACCTGATTTTCTGGTGGACAGAAGGGCGGGTGGAAGCTGGGTAAGGTTCCCCTGGATGAATTAGGTGGCTGCCTCTGTCTCCTCTCAGATTGGGGTTCCAGGTAGCCCACAGAGGGTGCGAAGTGGGGGCACTGCAGGAAAAGTGCCTAGACAGTGTAGATGGGGTTGGGGTTCGGGGTGCCTCCACTCTTCATCTAGTCAAAAGGCTGGCTAGTTTCCCTCCAAGGCTGACCAGAGTGGAAAGGGAGGCGGGCCAAGGGAAGCAGTGGGTCTGGCTGGTTTCCTGTCCCTCTCGCGTGTGGACAGATGCCAGCCTCAGAGAGCAGTTATCATCTCTTTGCCAGCAGGGGCTGCCTTCTTCCAGGGCATCTTGTGGGAACAAGGGGTGATCCAACTGAGGGAGAATACTCAAGGCTATGCCTCTGCATCCTGAGTTTAAGATGACGGAAGGGACGGATCTGGGGGAGATGAACAGTTCAGGGGACTCAAGAAAGGGTTTCTCCGGGCACCAGAAAGGCTCAGATACATCCAATCAAGCATATCTCCGGGATTTTCAGAAGCCTGCATTTGTCTCACTTTTTGTTTCAATGTATTTTTGTAGTTCCTCATTCTGGAGGCTGGGAATCCCCCAAGTACCATGCCCTCTCATCCCGACCCCTCTGCCTCCCCCTACCTTCAAGGGCTGTAGTTCCTGGCATGAAGTCTGAGCAGGAATGACCCATGGAGTGGGTAATAAGGGAAAAGAGTCAGTAGGGAAGCTACTTTGGTCCAGAACTTTCATTTTCACTCTAAGCAATGGTCCTTAGGGAGAAAGGAGAGGGTGGGGCCGGACAGAAGAGCAGTTCTTATAGGAGAGCGTGGAGGAAGAGCCAGGGGAGGGAGGGTGAAGGGTGGTTTGGCTTATCCAGAGCACACTCCCAGTTTTGGCTCCAGGTAGAGACTGGGCTGGAACAACAGCAAGGGCAGCTGCTATTTGTTGAGAGTTTCCTGTGCGTCAGGCTCTGAGGAAAATGCTTTTCATGCATTTTTTTTAAATTTCTTTTAACTCCCCATTATCCACATGAGGAAACTGAGGCTCAGAAAGAGGAAATGTCTTCCCAGAATTCTCATAGCTAGGTGGAACCTGGATATAAAGCTACATCTGCCTGGTTCCTGAGCCTCTCTCTCTCTGATGGTGAGAATTTCCAAGCCTTGGTCGGGAACTCCTTTGTGTCAGAGGCCTGGAGTGGGAACTGGGGATTGAGCAACTTTCAGAAGAGGAGCTACATTTCTCATGTGTTTGAAAGTGGCATAAAGGACCTTCATTGCTCTGGGATTGTGGTGGGAAGGGTTCCAGGGTTGCAGGGAGAACATTCACAGGATGAATGCTGTGATGTGATGGCTAAGGCAGCTGCCTTTCTACTTCCTTCCCCATTTGGGGTAAGAGTCATTTCTGTAAGTAATGGCCGAATGAGAGCCACCAGTTAGGCAGGACCTGTACAGCCAGCCAGTTAGTCAGGGCGCTAGGCATTCGAGCAAATACTCACATATGTACGGTCATTAAAACTGCCATTTAATGAGCACCTACTATGTTCTAGACACTGTGCCAGGCCACATACATATATTGTTTCTCATCTTCAGAACCTAAAATGGGGTATTATTACTCCCATTTTAGAGGTGGGGAAGCTGAGACTAAGAGAAGCAAAATAACTAGTAAGTGTCACAAAGTCAAGGTTGGAGCCTTAGCTGTTTGTCTCGCAAGACTGTGCTCTTTTCATTGGCCGTTCCCCAAAGTGTGGGATGATTGTAGGCAGCACACACATACAGAACTAAACAACAGAGATTCACTTTCCAGTTTCGTTTAAAATCCTTTTGATATTTTTTCAAGGAGGAAGTCTCTGGAGCTAGAATATAGTTAATACCTCTCCAGCACTTGTTAATCCTCCTTTTACAACAAAAATCAAGAGCAGGCCTGGAGTGGAGGGCTATCGGCGAGCAAAGCGACCAGCTGGGGTTTCATAACAATGTTTTGTTTCTGCTGAATTTTATTTTTAAGGCTACCTTATATTTATAAGCAGTGAGACCGGTTCTCTCTCATGGCAATGCTGTGAGGTTTACATGGAAAAGAGGTGTACTTAATTTAGTGAGAAGTAATCAATAGCATGGATGGTAACTGGAAGTGGTAAAAATGCAGGCGAGACCCAAGTTGGTGGAGAGAGGGAGAGTACTGAGACTGAATTCTCACTCGGATTCTCTCACTGTGAAACCTTGGGCAAGTGAGTCAGCCTCCCAGGCCCTTAGTCTCACCATTTGTAAAGTGAGAGTTGGATTTTATCTTCCCAGCTTCACAATTTTCTGGCATTTCATGAGGAAGGTGTTGGAGGGAAAAACCATGATGAGGCTTGGAGAGGGAAAGGGGTGGGGAGCAGAAGAATAATAGAAGGAAGAGTCCAAGTGCTAAATATAGCCCCAACTAGGACGAGGACCAGCTGAAGTCAGCCAGTCTCAGGACTCCAGGGGAGGTTCGGGGGGCCTCATGCGCCTTTGAATCTTTGTGAAGAGGAAAGACTCAGGAGTCCAGCCAAAAGGAAGATCTGTTTAGTTCAGAGATTATGGTGAGGTTCAAGCACAATCGCTTTGTAAAAGACCAGAACGATCCTCTGGGCGCTTTTACAATCCTATCAGTTGGCAGTTTAGTTAAAAATAAACACACCAAGTAATAGGCGGGCTCCAGTTTTCTGCTTTGGACTTCCACTTCAGTTCTCGCCTCTGTCCTGGCTGATGTTCATTTTCCTGCCAAGGAGGCTACAGCAGAGATTTCAAGATCCCTTCAAACTGCCCAATTCTGTTTTTAGGTCCACCCAGAACCACCCAATGTATGCAGCGAAAAGCAATACCTAATAGAAAGTCAGTGCTGTAATTTGTGCCCACCAGGTGAGATGCCAACCCTCTAGCCCCACAGTGGGTGACCCCTCCTGGTTTGCTGGCAGATGCAGGCCCCATGTGCCATCTGTAAACTCGAGTCTTAAATGACCCCTGGGATTTCCCATCCCTGCCCTGCTGTCAGAATGTTCTGGGTTCCCTCTCTGCCTGCCCAGGACTAGGGTTCCTGTATCTTGCACGCCCCCTCCCCCACTCCCAATCTGACTATGAAAGCTGGAAGGGTCCAAGACTGTCATCTTTGAATCCTCGGCCCTAAAGCCCAGCCTGATCAGTTTTTGGTGAGCGTCTGACTCACTGAGCTGGTCAGAGCTGCCTCATTTCCTGATGCCTTTTCCAGGTCACAGAATGGTGAATGACTGCACAAAGATCACCGACACAGAATGCTCCCCTTGTAGTCGAGGCGAATTCCTGGATTCCTGGAACAGAGAGACACGCTGTCATCCGCACAGATACTGCGACCCCAGTGCGTAGGCTGCTGGGGAAGGGGTGCTTGGGGGCTGGGCTGATATTCCAGCTCATTCTTGTAAAGTGAGAGTTGGATTTTATCTTCCCAGCTTCACAATTTTCTGGCATTTCATGAGGGAGGTGTTGGAGAGAAAAAACATAATGAATGCAGCCATTCATTTAAAAAAAAAAAGCCGGAGTCTGTTTTGATTGGTGGAGTCTGAGTTGTACTGGTTGTTGAATAATTTGATTGTTATCTGTACTTGGAAGAGGGTCTAAGAAAAAAAAAAGAGCAGGAAGTGTGAGGAGTGCCCGAGAGTGCCCACCAAGGGGTTCCCGTCCTTCCTACCCATCTCTGCACAGACCAAGGACTCCTGGTCCTAAGTGAGGGCACTTCGGAAACAGACACAATTTGCATCTGTGATGAAGGCCAACACTGTGTCAACGAGGCCTGTGAAATGTGCAGCCCGCACAGCCCTTGCAGCGCTGGCTTTGGGGTCAAGAAGAACGGTAAGTGGCCTGTTTGAGAATCAACTTTAGAGGCAGAAGAGAGGAGCTGAGGGCCAAGGCGAGGGGCCGGGCAATGGGCACTCAGCCCCAGAGGGGGAGGGAATCACAAGACTACAGCCTACATCAGTACATCCCCTGGAGTGAGCAGGAAATGAACCTTTTTCATCCCGGCTCCTGCCATGGTATCTGCCTTGGGAGGGCAGTGGGAGCAGCCTTCCTAGGGGCAGCAGCTGTTGTGGGAGGCTGAGCGCTGGGGAACAGTGCTCAGAGCAGGGAGATCTCCCTGTCCCGCTGGCCCACCAGTTCCCTGGGGAGCCAGACTGGTGCTCCACTGTGCTGATTAATGCCTCCTTCTCCCTCCCAGCTACACGGGTTTCTGATACCATTTGTGAACCCTGCCTGGTCGGCTTCTTCTCCAATGTGTCATCTGCTTATGAAGAGTGTCAGCCTTGGACAAGGTATAAGAACTCATCCCTTGTGTTTCCTGCTCCAAGAGGGGCATGGGATCTGCTTCCGTTCTATCCAGCCACCTACCCGTCAGCCCTGGCTCCCCATGTCCACACACACTCATACAACGTGTAAAACATCTAGAGTGACCTCATGGAAAAGCAACCAAATGGGCACTTTTCAGCATTTTCTTGTCTGCTCTCTCTTGGTGGTAATAGACACTGTTGATCTCTCCATCTGCATGAAACTCTCTTTTCTTGGGGACATTGTGATACCTCTCCTACTTTCCTTCTACCCTCGCCTGTTCCTCCTTTCCACATTGAAGGAGAGAGACACATTGATGGGTTGCCTCCCACATGACCCCAACCAGGGCCAGGGATCAAACTGCAACCAAGGCACATGCCCTTGACTGGAGTCAAACCCATGACTCTGGTCTGTGGGCTGACGCTCTAACTTCTGAGCCAAACTGGCCAGGGCTCAGCTACTTTTTAATTGCTTTGCCTACCTCCCCTGGGCTATCTCATCCATATCCATGGCTTCAAGCTACCATTTCTCTTGGGTGGTTCCCAATCAACATCTCTTGTCTAGATTTGTCTACTGAGTCCCAGTGGTCATATCCAACTGCCAGGGGTACACCTCCATGCACGTGACCCACAGGCACCAAGTGGGCTCAGCTTCTTGCTCCCCTCACCCTCTGTGAAGCCACCACCATACCTCTGGGCACTTGTCCCATGGTCCCCCCCACCTCCACTCCCAAATCAGTCACCAGGTCCTGTCTGTCTTGCCTTCTAGATGTTTTGGGACTCCTCCTTCTCATTAAATCAGTGTTGCCACTTTAGCCTGGGTCTCATCACCGTGCTCTGGTTGATGCCTTAGCATCCTCACTGACCTCCTGCCTCTAGTCATCTGGTTCTCTGTTCTCTTGCCAAAGTGAGTTTTCTGCAGTTCATTTTGGATCACAGCACTCCCTATTTAAAATGTTTCATGGGCCTGGCCGGTGTGGCTCACTGGTTGAGCGTCGACCCACGTACCAAGCGGTCCCTGGTTTGATTCCCGGTTAGGGCGCTTGCCCAGTTCTGGGTCCAATCCCCAGTGGGGGACATGCAGGGGGTGGTCAATCACTGTTCTCTCTAATCGGTGTTTCTCTCTCCCTCTCCCTTTCTCTCTCTCTCAAATCAATAAAGAAAAAGTATTACATAAATAAATAAATCTCTGGGCCTTTAGGACAAAACCCAAGCTCTTTGGGATGACCTCTGACATTCCAGTTCCATTTGCTAACCTCTTCCCACATCCTGCTACCTGCAATCCCCTCAACACACTGCTCATTCTCTTGCATCAAACTCTTCTGCCTGGAATACCCTTTAACACATGCCCCATTAACATTTTACATTTAAATTTAAAAATGCCCCATTAACATTTTACGTTTAAATTTTTAAAATGGGTAGGACATGCACGTGAGGCAGAAAGCACAGAAGGGCCCACAGTGATAAATCTCCCTTTCACCCCTGTCCCTCAGCCACCCAGTTCTCCCTGGAGGCAGCCACTGTTCCTTGTATGTCCTTCCATAGACAAACACACAAACACACACATGCAAACACATTCTTCACACAAATTGTAGCATCTCATAGACACTTTGTTATTTGTTTACTGTCTGCCTTTTTCCATTAGATTGCAGACTCCTTAGATATAGAGACTTGGCTTTTTTTTTTCTTCCCCTGATGCATCCCTTATGCCTAGAACGGAGTAGGGGCTCAGTACATTTTTATGTTGACTGGTGACTGGTAGCAGGTTGGGGCAGTAGAATCAGAATTCCAACCTCAGTGCAGCTTAGAAAGGAGGTGGCCCTGTGCAAGCGTGTGACCCTCATCTCTCTGAGCCTCAGTGTCCTCATCTGGAAAAGGAGAATGACCTCCATCCCGTGAGGCTTGAGGAAGACATGCAGAAATGTTTTGTAAGCTCGTAAGCACTCTCCTCATGTATGTGCGTTCCTTGAAGCTTCTCTCTCTTTCTCCATCGTAAGATTTTTTTTTATTTGTGATGTTTGACCATTCCTCACCATTTCTCCTGGGGCCATGTTGGACTGGGTCTTCTTCTCACATCTAGACTCCTGCCGTGGCCTCCTGGCTGGCTGCTTCTCGGTAATTTCTCCTCCTGTGAACTCTCTGACCAGCCGAGCCCTCCCTCTCCTCCAGCCATCTGATTGGAGGCTGATATGACTCACCAGCGGAATCCAGGGGAAAACTTCATGGCTGATTATCAGTGATCTGGTTCTAAAGACCCAGTTTTCCATGGTTCCCTAATGCCATCTGGCACGTCACCCCCTAATCTCCATCACATCGTTCTGCTTATTGGGAATGGACCACTGCTTTAAATGTTACATCCTTCAGAGCCCTCTCAGACCTAACTTCCCCAGGGCAGTCCCTCTGGATGAGCCTTAAACCAGAGGTTCTCCACTGAGCAATTTTGTCCCCCCTGGGCCATTTGACTTGAAAGGGGGATGCCACTGATATATAGCGGGTAAAGGCCAGGGATGCTGCTAAACATCCTATAGTGCAAAGGGCAGCCCCCATAACAGAGAGTCACGAGGCCCAAAATGTCAGTGGTGCCGAGGTTGAGAAACCCTGCCTTAAACCAAATGGATTGTCTCTCCATTCCTGCCGCTGTGGAGTTTATCTCCACTTCTCCGAACGATTCCCAGTTGACTTCAGCCTATATCCCAACACTTGGCACTCATTAGAGACTCTCCGATTATTACCCCTTCAAGACGTGTAATCATCTCTCCTCTGCACTTGTGAGTTCCACGAGAACAGAGTTGGCATCATAACCAGCACAGGAGGGTGCATGTAATATGTGCTCAGTGAACCTGGACTTGTTGATTATTGTTGATGGTCTCCCTCTGGGGTTGGAAATCTCATGGTTGGGGAAACTTAATGTCTCTTTTTCTCTCTCCTTCTCTCTCTGCACGTATGTGTGCGCACACACGTGGGCACACAGCTGTGAGATCAAAGGCCTGGTGGAGCTGCAGGCAGGGACTAAGAAGACGGACGCAGTCTGTGGTGAGTTCCGGAGAATGGGCCCTGGCAGCAGGCTAGGACGGTAGGGAACTAAGGAGGGAGACTGAGGCACACAGAAGCAACGGGTGGGAGGGGGTAGTTTGGAGTTGTGGCATCTCAGCTCTGCCACTATCAAGTCCTCCCCAGCACTCCGTTTCTGGAGCCTCAGTTTCTTCATTTGCAGAATGAGATGATGACAGCCCTTCCCGTGGCAGGCTGTTGTAAGTGCCTGGCATGGGTTCTTGCACTTTGGAAGTGCTCTGTCACGGCTGTTCCACTTCACGTACCAGCATGGTGTGACACGGTTTCCCCTCAGGGCCCCAGCTTTGATTTTAGAGCAGCGAGGTTGGCCTGCAGCACAGATCACAGACTTAATAACTACAGGGACGAGGCAGGTCATGTTAATGAGTGAAAAAGGTCAGAGGTAAGAAAAATGCACTCTCCGTGCTTTTTCTTAACATCCATTTTCCCTTTGGCAGGGCGGGGACTGGAGGGGGGCGAGCGAGGCACTTGCCTTAGGCACAATATTTAAAGCGGTGCCAGGAAAACGAAGTAATCGTGATAAATAACATTTTGATGCAGTATTTAAAAGAGAATCAAAGTTAATGTAAAAAAAAATCCATAATTAACAAACTATAAAATTTTAGCTAAAGACGTGGTCCAAATCTTGTACTTGTACAAACCTGCCTGACTTGCCTCAGCCTAATCCTGGTCCTTGTTTCAATAAAACTTTATTTAAAAAACAGGCAGCCATCCTGTGGGCCATTATTTGATGGTCTGATTTTTCAAAACATGACATTAAAATATGACCTATCTTGATCACTGAGTTATTTGGTGTCCCCCCTAAATTTTTTCCTGAGGTGTATGCCTTACCCTAGTCCCTGCCCTGCCTCTTGGTCTTTCTTTCACTTTCCCATTTGGAACGGAGACTTAGGTGCAAGAAATACTTTAATTTCCCCTCCATTCTTCTATAACAAAGACAACAGTGCAGACATAAATGATGCAGGTCCTCAGCCTTAGGCAGAGAGTAGGGAGGGGTGGGGAGTGTGGCGAGCGGTAGAGACAGCCACCAGCACTCAGTTTTGGTCAATGAGTGCCAGGTGGGGCTGCTGGCCTGCTGGGGCTAGATCTCCCAAATTTCTAAGAGAAACCAGATATCTAGAGTTTAAATATACAATCTCCCCAAATTAGAATGTTTAAAAGAATTTAAAAATGTGCTGGTCCTACTAAAGACATCTGCTGGCCACATTTTACCAGGGCCACCTGTTGGAAGCCCCTGAGGTAGCTGAGCTCAGACATGGAAGGATGTTAGAGACTGGTCAAGTACGGCAGCTTTGGGCATGGGGGTGGGAGCCATCGCTGAAGTCTTGAATCCTCCAGATTTCCCACGGCATCGGATGAGACCCCTGGTGGTGATCCCCATTGTTGTAGCGATCCTGTTTGCCATCGTGTTGGTGTCTGCCTGTATCAGTGAGTCCCCAGGTGGGCAGTGATGAGGGAGGCGGGAAGAGGAGAAGGTCAGGTACAACAGGCTAACTCTCTGTCCCTTTCTTTTTTCTCTCTAGGAAAGGTGCCCAAGGCGGCAGACAATAGGGTAGGTACCCCTGGGAACTGGGTCTGAGTTTTGGCGAACTGTTAAGAAAATCGACTCATTGTTGCCTAGGTGGCAGTAAAACGGATTCAGGGTCTGTCCCGGTGGCAGTGGGGTGGCAGCAGAACGGGCTACCCTCCCCCGCAGCCCACCCTGTGCTCCGGAGCTCCTCCCATTCGCCCCCTCAGCACAGACCTTTGTCATTCTCAGAGCTCACCTCCCCACAGAGCTGCCCTGGCACCATTGTCAAAGTCAGTGGCGTTATCTGCTGTTCTTTCCTGGCATTCAATATGTGGGGAACCACTTTGGGGCCTTGGTGCCCCGACCATGGGCCAGGCTGGAGGGGTTGCACCTTGAACCCACTGGAATTTTCTTGACACCCTCAGTGTGGCCAGCAGGGGGCAGGAGGCACCCATGGAATCAGCCCTGATTTGGGAGAGGGGAAGGGGCTTGAGGAGGATCCCCTTTGAGGGAAGGGCTCCTCAGAAGTGTTGCTGGGGATAACCTTACTCCTTGGCTCATCAGGCCTTCTACCAGAAGGACGAAAGGCAAGACCCTGTGGAGGACTCGGAGGAACTTGCTGGCCACAGCACCGCCGCTCCGGTGCAGGAGACCTTACACTGGTGCCAGCCGGTCACGCAGGAGGATGGCAAAGAGAGCCGCATCTCGGTGCAGGAGAGACAGTGAGGCTGTGCGTGCCCAGGAGCGTGGCAGGATGGACAAATGTGCACGTGACCGTGGAGCCTGGAGCTGGAGCTGGGACACGAGGGCCAGGGACTGGCGCTAAGCACAGCCCCCCTCTGCCTGCACCCCTGCAGCTCAGAAAGTTCACCTCAGGGAACCTCCCACTCCAGCCTGGAGCCCGTTCAACCTCCCAACTTGCTTTTAAAGATGGAGGCAAAACTTCTGCAGGGGTGTGTGTGGGGGCATCTAGTAATATCATCAAACCCTGCAACCCAGCAGTTCAGTGCCCATGGTGGTTTCTATGAGCCCAAGGGGGCATCTACATGAATATTGCAGTGTTGTTCGTGACAGTAAACAACTGGAAGCCACTTAACTGTCCATCAACAGGGGACTGGCTAAATAAAACTGTAATATATTTATGCAACAGGATTTCAAAAACACTGTCCTGGGGGAAAAAAAGCAGGTTGCGGAATGATGCACGTGGATTTTTTTTTTTTTTTTTAAAGCACATATCCCCCAAACGATATGATCTATCACCTATGGGTGTGTGTCTACACATAATATGCGCTGTGTATGTCAGTATAACAAGGGTCCTGGAAGCATACACAGAAATGTGCAGCTCAGAGAGTTGCAAAGTCTGGATTGGGGAAGGAGGCTCTGGGGGAGGGTTGGTAAAAGATTTGACTTTTCCATAAGGTTTCATTTTTTTTTTCCCCCCTAAAAGGAGAGTGAATTCACATACTGCTTATATAATTAAAAAGTCATCAAACATGTGAAAAGAAAAACGGGGGTGGATATGCTGGGTGACATGAGCTGCTTAATTTACTGTCAAACTCTTAGGGCACTTTTGGAGAATAAATAAGAATGTCCCCAGGCTGCGGCCCCTCTGTGTATGTTCACATTTGGCACCGTGTTTGCAAAGGGTTCTCTCCATTTCATTCCTGTTCACAAAATCAGCCTTGGGGGCAGGCAGGGCCTGCATCTCTCCCCTTTTAAGGTGGAAACAGAGGCCCAGAGAGGTGAAGTAACTTGCCTATGGTCGCACAGCAGTTGGTAGTGGTGCTGCCCAGAGCTCCCCACTCCTGGTCCTGCTCTGCTTCCCCCAGACCTGCCCGATCTCTGGAACCCAAATCTGTAGCTCCTTCCTAGGGAGACCTTGGGCCTCCCACCTCCTTCTGACCTCCCAACTGTTATAGGAGCTGCTGCTTCTCAGTCAGATGGTCCCCCCTCCCCCCCAGCAGTATCTTAGGATAAAAATAACCATCCTGTTCTCTTTTCTTGCTGTGCCAACTGAGGGGGAGCCTAGCCAGGAGGAGCAGCAGATGGAGTAGGAGCAGAGGGGAAGGGGGGAGGGGAGGGGAGGAAGGTTGTAGCACATGGCGGAGAACGAAGAGTCATGCAAAGCCCTGGCAGGAAGATTAAGATTCATGGTGTGGATGAAGCCAGGCTGGCTTAACCCAGGGATCCCCCACCCCCACCCCTGAAGGAAGTTCTTTTGGATTCCCCCAATGTGTCTTATTGCCTGGAGGGTGGGGATGAAGAGGGCTTGTCTCTGCTGAAGGCTGTGGGGGCAGCTGGGAATTAAGAGAGGGCCACCTGGCTTGGCAGTCTTCCCAGAAGAGCAAGAACCATTTGGATGCACCAGGTGGAGAGGTTTGGTTTAGAAAGTGGAGCAAAGTGGTGGTGGGTGGGGTAGGGGAAGGGGAGCTTGGGGACCTCACCTTCATCCCCTACCTAGAGTCCAAAGACTAGTGTTACTCACTTCTGTGCATGGCAATATGGTGGAAGGAGACAAAAGACCCACCACCTCTGCCACCTATCATCTGTGGGTCACTGTTCATCTTTGAGCATCTCAGTTTCCTCATCTGGCAAATGGAGACAGTACCCATAGCAGCTGCTATAAGTGCCTCTTTTGTCTTCTCCTGGGTCAGGGGTTCTCAGTCCAGAGCATGTATTCTGCTAAATGCACTGAAAAAGACAGATTGCCGGGCCCCAGGATTTCTGATTGAATGGGTCTGGGATGAAGCCCAAGAATTTGCATTTCTAACCAGTGTCCTAGCTGCTGCTGCTGGTCCAGGGACCACATTTTGAGAACTTGCTCTTGGCATTCAGATTTCTACATAAGCAGTTGGTTTCCTACTGCAAGTACTTGGGATCATCTGCCTCGGGGCTTTCCCTGGTCTTGAAGACGTGCTTGGTGCAGGTGTGACGCAGGTTAGACGTACTTAGGGGAGTTAATAACTCGGAACACTCTCAACTAGGACCGAAGATTGGAGGATAAATGACCAGCCTTTTTGCCCTTGGGAGAGACAAATCTGAAGAGTGATCTATACTGACTCGAGAAATGGAGCCCCAGCTGCCCCTCTGCATTGGCTTCCTTCCCTTCCCTGTCTCACTTCCCCACCCCCTCTGGTGTTTTCGGAATTCAACTCCCTAATAAACTACTTGCGTTCCTTCCTTGTCACAAAGTCTGCTTCTGGGAGAAGTCCCCCCTAAGAGCCAGCAGAGCTCATGCCTAAGAAAGTACGCTTTTGCGTAGCAGCCTCCCTTACTTTCTGTGCTTTATAGTTACCTGCAGTCCAAAAAAATTTTAAATGGAAAATTCCAGAAATGAACAATTCATAAGTTTTAAATTGCATGCTGTTCTGAGTATTGTGATGAAATCATACTGTCTGCTTTATCCCGTCTGGGACATGAATCATCTCTTTGTCCAGCATGTTCACTCAGTATACGCTCCCCAACCATTAGTCACTTATAACTGTCTCCATGATCAGATCGGTTATCAGAGAGATAACTTAAAAAAAAATTTTTTTCCTTTATTGATTTTAGAGGAAGAGAGTGAGAAGGAGCGATAGAAACATCAAAGAGAAAGAACATGGATTGGCTGCCTCCCGCATGCCCCCCACTGAGGATCGTGCCCATACCAGGCATGTGTCCTGACCGGTATCGAGCTGGTGACATTTTGGTGCATGGGTCGACACTCAGCCACTGAGCCACACCGGCTGGACAACATAATTATTATTACAGTTATAATTATTCTATTCTATTATTAGTTTTTATTGTTAATCTCTTACTGTGCCTAATTTATAAATCAAACTTGATCATAGGTACGTATATGCCTATGTATAGAAAAAAAACAGTATATGGAGGGTTCAGCTCTACTCATGGTTTCAGGCATCCACTGGGGGTCTTGGAGTGTACACCTGGTGGATAAGGGGGTCTGCTGTATCTCTTAGAGTTCCTGACAAAGGGACGGGGTTGCTTTTCATGGCAGCTGTAGCAAGTTCTGTCTTGTAAGTGGAGCTCAGCCAGGAACCTGTGACCTTGGGAGAGTTACTCTGTGGTTCTGGGCTCCCGCCTCCAGATGTGTAATGAAGAGCCGGGGCCCTAGGAGTTCAAAGGGTCTTGCTAATTCTACAAATAAGAGGATCAACTGGGCCCTCTCCTGCGTGAGTGGACGGTAGGTGTGAGGCACATATCATCCAGAGGGTGGCGCCAAGGTAACGTCCAAAGACCCTGGTGGCTGGCTTTTGCTGACTCGAACACCTCATCCTGCCCTTACTTTGGAGATGAGGCCTTTCCTCCCTCCGCCCATGGGTCTGAGCCTGCTGCAGCCTCCACTCTGCAATTTCACCCTTTCCCCAGGTCAGGTCTCCCTCGCCACTGCTTCCTTCATTTAGCAGCATCATTGCTACTGTGGCCTCCTCCGGAGCCAGGCTGCGCACAGGCGCACACGAAGAGTGCACACAGACTGAGTGCTCACTTTATGCTGGGCACAGCGCTCAGAACTTTCTTTGCATTGTCTTACTCCGTAGGACAACCCTGCCCAAGGCCGTCTCTTGTGAATCACCCATTTCACAGACGGGGCTCAAGGCTAAGTAACTCATGAAGGCCTGAGGAACCAGAGCTGGGATTTGGACCTAACTTGGTTGACTTAATGCCTGTGGTTTTCACTCATTTAGCGAACAGAGAAACAGGTACATGTTAACATGCCTTTAAAAGACATGTGACTTCCCAGGACAGAGGGAAAGCTCAGAGCGGGAGCAATTAACCTTTAGGGCAGGGTTGCCAACTCATGTACATTGGGGCTGGAGAGTGAGGCAGGATGGCAGAGACTGTGGCAAAATGAAGGGGCTCTGCTCATCTTTGGGGGGCAGCATCTATCATTTCCTTCCAATGGTTGCCTTACAGGAACGAGCATTATATATTGCTGGGGATCTAGATTTCCATGGGAAATCACCCAATATTTAAATGCCCCAAATTAAAAAACTCGACGAAAGCCCAGGAAAGTATGCCACAGAGGCTTGGAATGAAGAGACTGGGAACGTCATCATGTCCAGCCCTTTGTTTCCTGTATGGGGAAACTGAGGCCCTGAGAGGGTCCAGATCCCACATAGGCAATGTGGCTTAGGAGGTTGTCTCCTTCCCCCGCACCCCAGCCAGGAGGTTTCGGTGCCACCAGTGCGAGCGAGCTGGTTAGCCGGGTCTAGGGCACTGAGGGAACCGCCTTGGGACAGAGGCTGAGCTGGGTGTAGAGGTCCTCTTCATTCCGTGACCCCCCATCCTGACGCTCCCAGGCCTGCACACACATACCCTCCCCGTAAGCCTTCAGGGCCCCGCAGCCGATTCCTTGGGCAGCAGAAGTTATTAAAGACTCTTCCCAGAAGGGCTTCTCTCCCCCAGAGTGATTCTGGCACAGAAAATTACAAACCCACCTGCGGGGGTGGGGAGATACAGTTTGAATTTATAAAAAAGAAAAAGAAAGAAAACAACAAATCCATGCTGTGGTCCCGGAGTCTGGGGAAGGAGGAGGCTCATGAGGGGGCTCCCCTGGGACAAGCAGCACTGTTACTGGGGGGCTGGCTCAGCAAGGTGAGTGAGCAGCTTTGCCCAGACAGATGGGGCCAGTAAGGGGGGCGCTGGGCATCACTCCTCTACTTTGATCCCCTCCCCCTATCCCCGGGGGCTCTTGGCCTTTCTCCATGATGACTGGCACACCCATCTGGGCCTTGATACCCAGCTAGCTCCTTGCCTCCCCCACCCTCCAGGACCCCCTACCCTGCTTTCTGCCTTGCTCCCTGACCAACTACCTCTTTCTCTTCTCCCAGCAATTCACCTCACTCTTCTTGTTCTCCTTCCACAAAATATTATTGTTTTGGCTAATTAGGAAAGTCCGACCTTGCCTTGCACACCCCATCCAAGCAATAAACAGGAAAACAGGACCACCTCCTATAAGCCTCTCACTACCCCTGCCAACCACCAGTTACAGGTCCTTCCAGACTTAGTTTCAGTGCCAAAAATATTTTTAACACTTGGGCTATTATTGCATATACTGTTTTGTGAGCAGCCTTCTTGGCTTAGCAGTACACGGCGGACATCTCTCCACGCCAGTAAATATAGATCGGCAACATGCTTTTTAATTGCTGCATAGGCGTCCATTGTAC